CGTTTTCCTTGAGTTTTCTTTGAGTTTTTATTCTAATTTTATTGTATTTTCCCAGGTTTTTCTTTCTATTTTCTATATTTTATATCCTATATTCTAAGTTATTCTTGAGTTTATATTCTTTGAGTTTATTTCCTTTAAGTTATTTTTAAGTCTTCTTTGAGTTTTACTTTTTGTATATACATATCCTTACCCTCTTTATATTAAGTCAAGTAGTATAGTTAGCAAGGCCAGCTTTCTATATTACAATATATAACTTTATCTTAGTATTAAAAATTTTTTACAAGTGATATTTTTAACTTTTACAGTATAGATCATTGTATTATATTATTTAAACATGTCAAAAAAGCTTTTTTTAAATAATTATAAATTCATACTTTGATACTTTAAGATTTGTAAACTATGCATTTTAATTGAAAAAAAAAAGAGTTTGTCTCTGAAGAATGTGTATCTATAGTAAATCTAGAAATCATAGAAAATTTTGAAGATTTTGATTGGCCAACTATAGATTTCTAGTGCTATAATTTTAAATAATTTGATTGGTCAGTTATCTGTCATGTGATTATATAGGGGCATGCCTCAAGCTAAGGCATGCCTATTTTATTACCCGTGCCCACAACTCTAAATAAAACAGTACAAAGACTGTTATTTATATATATGTAGAGTTGTAACCCGAAACCTATTTGATTGAACCTAAAGGTTTAGGGTTTTGGCTATAGGTTGCAAAACCCTAAACTAGTGTCAAAATCCTAAAATAATACCAAAATCCCAAAATGATGCCAAAATCCCAAAATGATGCCGAAATCCCAAAATGATGCTGAAATCCCAAAATGATGCCGAAATCCCAAAATGATATCGAAATCCCAAAATGATATCGAAATCCCAAAATGATGCCGAAATCTCAAACCAGTGCCGAAATCTCAAACTAGTGCCGAAATCCCAAAATGATGCTGAAATCTCAAAATGATGCCGAAATCTCAAAACAATGCTGAAATCCCAAAATAATGCTGAAATCTCAAAATGATGCCAAAATCCTAAAACAATGCCGAAATCCCAAAACAATGCCGAAATTCCAAAATGATGTCAAAATTCCAAAACGATGCCAAAATCTCAAAATGATGCCAAAATCCCAAAACGATATCAAAATCCCAAAATGATGCCAAAATCCCAAAACAATGCCGAAATCTTAAAACGATGCTAAAATCCCAAAACGATGCCAAAATTCCAAAATGATGCCAAAATCCCAAAATGATACCAAAATCCCAAAATGATGCCGAAATTCTAAAACGATGCCAAAATCCAAAAACGATGCCAAAATCCCAAACGATGCTGAAATCCTAAAACAATGCCGAAATCCTAAACCAGTGCCGAAATCCCAAACCAGTGCCAAAATTTCAAACCAGTACCAAAATTCCAAACCAGTGCCAAAATTCTAAACAATTGCTAAAATCCCAAATCAGTATCGAAATCTGCCAAAACCTTAAACCAGCATGATTTTTCTGAAACCTAAACTAAAGTCAAAATCTCAAACCAGTGCCGAAGCCTGGTTAACCAAGTCATATATTATACTTTAAATTAGTACTTGTAGTCGATAAAATCGGCTTAGCTAACTTAGTCAGCCGATTTTTAAAAAATTCAACTTATAATAGGATTATATGAATATCTGAAAATTTACGAAAAGAAAATCAACAAACATAAAATTAATTTTATGTTACAGGAGCGACTGTTGATGTTACATAACTGATCCTTCACCTGGTGTGCAATATATAAAAAAACTATTTTACAATACCAGATCATTCTGACAATACATGTGATAATTATAATTTTTATTATTAAAATAGTGAGGGATTATAATTATAACATGTACTGTCAAAATGATCTGGTATTGTAAATAGGTTTTTTATATGTTACACACCGGGTGAAGGATCAGTTATGTAACATTAACATCGATAGTCATTCCTGTATCCCTTAAACTGTTTTCCAGGCAAATTTGCCTGGAAAACAATTACATGGATTTAATTGACAAAATTAACACAGATGGTTAAGATCTACGCCTAAAAATAATTAAAAAAAATTTTTTACAAATTTTATAATATCTCAAGTTCTGATAATCAAAGTTTAGCGATTTTGATACCATTCGAATCGTCTCAATGAGACGGATCGAATGGCATAAAAATCGTTAAATTCTGATTGCTATATCACAAGATAATGTGATTTAAAT